TTACTTAATGCCGGCCTAGCTCCGGGCCTATTCCGACCCTAAATTTTGGTCGGTCTGCTGAATTTTGGTTGCTCCACAAATCTATCCTAAAATTGAAGTACTCTGATTGGCTACAAGACCTAGCAACTACCTCAAGAACACTTCCAAAAAGTCTGCACGATAGACAATCAGATATAATATAAATCAATAATAAGAATATAGAAGACGCGATATATTCAAAAATTATTTGTGATTTAGAAAAAGATTTTTGTTAAATTTAGCAAGTTGTGATATCGCAGGTTAATATGTTATCCCGGCAAGTTTTTTTTATGAAATAAAGGGAGAGCCCCGTGCCCCTCACCATTTTTTATTTTTAACGCGATTGGTAAATTGGCAAAAATATTATCTTATAATTTGCAATTATTAATATCTAGTTAATTTCTTTTTGACTTACGCTTTCACATTTACTACAGGGTTCCACTAAAAGTTCTCTTACAACAATAGAGCCGATAACTTTCTTCACCGCAATAATCACCTGTACCCCACTGACCTTTCACATCATCTTCTTTATGCTCTTTAATACGTGCTGGACATGTTTCTGAATAGTCGAATTGATCGCTATACTTATTACTTTAATTAAAAGATAAACGAGAAAAGTGATTCAATACCATTTGATAACATATTTCGTTTTTCATTGGTTTTTATATCTTCTGATGATGTACTTACCTCGGTTAAGTCTTTTGAATTCGTTTCAGGTAAAGTTTTCTTGGATTCCTCGATATCTAGTAATTTTGATAAATTATTTGTGCCAGATTTTTCATACACCAATGTTCTTGCTGATTTATCATCAATGTTCTTCGTTGATTTAATATCTATAACACGATTTTCATATGCTTTAGTATAACAATACCAACATAAATTCTTTTGTCTGGTTTTCATTGCTGTATGAAACAAATCTTATAATCTGAGCCGTAACTTCATCAGATCCTAATATTTTTTTCTAGAGAGAGTTCGGGAATTTGCATATCTATGTCCTGAATCGCAATATTTTTCTCAGCATAAACAGATAATTCGTGTATTATACCTTGTTCTACCTTCTCATTGTAAGGAATTTTTTGATCAGTAAATAGTTTGGCATAAAACAGTAGATGAATCAAAGACTTGAGAAGGTTCATTACTTTGCAATAGTCCTGTTTCATTATGCGATTCCGATTGAATAGTTTTTTGTTCATGTGAAAAAGATGTGGTATTCTCAGAAAAGAATGATATCTTTTGTATTGATCCTTGATCTTGAGAAGTGGAAGTTTTCATTATTTCGTACTGGCTTTTTTTTCCGATTCTTTCCTTTGATTACATCACTAATATCTTTTCTTTGCATAACCAAGAAATCATCGACCTCCTTATTATCTAATGGTTTAGGCTCTGTGTATATAGGTGATGCGGTGCATCGAATCTTCGACTCTTGATATACATCAGAATTTGAATCATTGTCAGATACATCAGAGTTTGGTTGGGAGTATTATTGGATTTTATTTCAGGAGAAATAGTCTCACGAGACGCAAATACTCTCGCATCTAAAGATTCAATAATCTGCATGTTCTTAATAGGTGATAATGTAGATGATTGAGTAGTAGTAGTCGCTGTACCTCTCTGTTCTAGATTCGTGATTCTGATTTCATGTTCTTTTAAAGTTCTCATTATCAGCCTTAACTTTCATATTCTTAGATTTAAGTTCGATATTTTCAGTCTCAATTTCAGCGCATTTCTTTTTAAGCTATCTCGGCTACAAGCTTATAATTCAATTCTCTCAACAAGTCGTCATTAGAATGTGTGTTTGCCATTTTTTTTGTTTAAGATACAGATTTATTCAAAAAATCACATGTATGCTCCGTTCCGAAACGGAACACAAATGCCAAGAAAATTTCACGCTTTATCAAAAAAATTTCAATCTGATATAAACGTTGATAACAATGCAATAAAATAAATTCACGAAATACACATGCAAAGTAAACATGATTAAACATAATTATGTGTACGAAATCGAGCCACCAGGGCCAGCTTTATTATATAAAAAATAAAAATAAAGTATAAAATAAAATACAGTATATATTTTATAGAGATCTACGCATTTATTGATAAATCGATATAACAAATTGTATATGAGTGTCGCTAAAAGAAATCCCGAAATTTTAATATAAGTCATATTTAAATTTTCGGGTTTTCTTTTAGCGACGCTCATATATTTACTAAAAATTATTAAAATATAATAACTTATCTAAGAGCAAAATAAAATGAGCATTCGTTAGTTGGTTATCCAGGTCACACCACGCGGAGGTCAATGCTCAAGTGACCCGTGTACCACACTTGGTGGGTTTGAAATTAAAGAAAGTGTATATACAAAAAAAAATTTAGAATTTGATTCTCTTATCGTAAGTAGAAAAATTAATGTAAACGAAAATAAGGTAAGGGTAGTATTCCACGTAGTCTATCAAGACTAACGTTGATTAAGTAAAAGGGTAAATCGTGTTTATCCGATAAGAGGATCAGATCTTCAGCTTCTCGAGCTGCTGGAAACGCACCTTGTGAAAACGAATCCATAGATGGAGCTACTATGATACCTATAGTAATTCTTTCATTAGATTCATTTCGTTTATATCTTCGAACAACCTCGCAATGTTCAAAGACTATCGAGCGATCTAATTTTGTATATTTGTGAATTTAAACATAATATCTAAATAAAAAAAATGATAAATAAAAAAGGACAGTTTCTATTTGTATACTAGTGTATGAATTATAGGTACATATCATAATTCAAAATTTTGCTTGAAACCATCCTTCGGGTTCTAACAAAAAAGGGTCTCTGTGAAATTTTAGTATAAACTACACTTTAACCCAAATCCAAAACCTAATCTATTTTAACTTAATCTAATTTAATCTTTTCTTTAATTTTGTATTATATTGATCTGCGAATTATAACTGTATAGTAAATTAAGAAATTTTCATAAAAAAATACCTATTGTTCCAAAACGAGTCCAGTTTTTACATTGGATGACGATAACAATATCACGCATTTTACAAATGATATCGATACCTCCATCGCCCGGATTACTAAAATGGGAATAAATGTAAGTGATTGTGTCATAATTATTAACTAACAAGGAATATGGCCGGAATAGTCAACGGTTACATATTTTCGATGTTAGAATGTATTCTATTCACCAATTTCCCAGCAGTTACTCTCTTTACAGACAGGTCCAATTTTCTACAGGAACATCAGTAACTGATAGAGGAGAACGTTCAACTATCGAAATAGTTGGCCACGAAGAGCTTTCAATTCTCTATCAGATTTTATTACACTGATGTGGCAGCGTAACTTTGAATACATTATAACTCGACAAACACTCAATGAAAAAGAAAGCTCACCCTGTATAGATGTATTCCAGATCATCCCCCCTTGTGAAGCGATCGACTTTTTTAAAGCCGATTTTTTTTAATTCCTCGAGGATATCCCACTCGAGGATTTTTCCTTTCATTGATGGGGCATGCCAGATAAGGACGTTGGCAACTTCAACTTCATTTTCTGAACGAACCATTTTTTTTTTAAAAAAAAAAATAATCAACAAATAACATTTTATGTGTTTTATATCATGCCCATAAAAAAATCATTAAAAAAAAAATTAGTCGATTTAAAAATACTTTCAGTACGTTGAGACTTGCTTTAAATAGAAATTGAGCACTCAAACATAAACGCATATCGATATCAATATCGATTAAATATAATTGAACATTCTGGGGTTATGCATGCAGAATTTTCTATGACCTTCCATTTTGAAGTTTGTTTAACATCTATCGCTATATTATCGATAGGTGCAGAACGGCATTTACATACTAATTTCCCCCAAGTTAAAATGTGACACTTAAGTTAGGGCTTGGGGTTAACGTTAATGAACAACCTAACACTAAAATTTTGCAAGGAATTTTTTTTGTTAGTGCCCAAAAAAACGCTGCAGAACGATCGGAAATCACTTGATACCGAATACATCTATGTAACCCCACGCCCAAAATGGGGGGTCCTTAAAGCCGGGTTAAAAAAAGTTACGTTTTGATGTTTTTAGAGTTACCTTTTTGATACAGTTAAGGTTAGTAAGTTATTTATATATCAATAATACAATTTATGCAGTATATAGATCATTATCCGCGCTTTAAGGGACCCTCCAAAATGGAAATGATGGGATAGATTAGTGGAGCCGACCAAAATTTAGGGTCGGAATAGGCCCGGAGCTAGGCCTGCATTAAGCAATAATATAAACAAACTATTATAGCAAAATTATCATCTGGGCAGTACGTGGGCTACCATTTCATTAGTAAAATTTTGGATGATTTGGGGAGAAATTCATCAACTCCGGCCTATTCCGA